GGGACTCCGTTCCTTTCTCGAAAAGAAAAAGAAGTTCTTATCACCAGCGTTAAGCTCGCTTTAATGCAATCACATCTACGTAGGGGATCAATACACTAATTTACAGTGCTTCTGAAGGAGAGGCCACAGTACCAGCTGTTCATATAGTATCAACAGAACTGCAAATTTTGTGTTTAAGTAATTCTTTAAAACTGTCAGTGGGAAAAGCAATCCGTCATGATTCGTGCTGGTTCATTTTCGCGGTTCACTGGTATGCTAAGCATATCGGGCAGGAATGAAAGATCGGATATGCTGTAAAAAAGACCCCTTAAACATGTTCCTTGGTTTAACTTTCTAATTCCGGCTTCTCCAAATTTTGTTTTCTTTGGATCGTTCACTTGTTTTAAGATTACGATGCGGCCTTCTAACGGCCACAATTTATTATTTCTTAGATGAGGGGGCCCCTCAGTACCTGCGCTATTTGATCATCATTCAGCCAGTTCGGGATGTCTACTTCTGTCGTATTTAAATACTTGGATCAACTGTTTGTTAGCCTCAGTTACTTTGACCAATGCTGCGCATCCGCTCGTGATCAGTCTGCTGGCGATCCTGATGTTTGCGTTTCGTTTCCTGAATTGACCAGCAGCAGAATCGTTCTTCGGGTTGAAGATGTTGGCAAAGCTTTGGGTACTTTCTGTATTAGGGGAAATGCTTAAATGATATTCTACAAAAGTGAAGTACCTCCTCGATTAGGCGATATTTTTTTACCATCATGAAATACAAGAAGGTCCACCAGTTATATTTTGGGGGAAAAAACGCCTCTAACATACTCCTCAAATATTTCTTAGATGGCTGTTTTAGTTTTGAATCTATGTTTGCCTTAATTTTGATCTTAGCATTTGTTTTTTTTTGTAGCGCCTGCATTTTTCACTCATTTCTGATCAGCTTACCTTTTTAGCGTAAATTTCGTGTCTGCGATTATTTGCCGAAACAACCACTCATGTCGAAAGAGATTCGTACAAAAGTAATCGACTGGTATGTGCTAATGCAGGAAGATTTTGAGCTGAACCATGAGGTGCTCTATCATGCAGTCAAAATTTTCGATCTCTATTTGAGCGTTACGGAAAAAATCAAAGATTTTGTATGTATTGCAGCGGCCTCATTGATTCTTGCCAGCAAAATCGATGTTAGTTTTTGTCAAATTTCCACTTTTGTACTCTTTTACATCGTTTGTCCCACGCGCTTTCCAACCAAAATACGCCTTTTGGGGATGGTCAGTATGACTCAGTAGCAAATATCGCTACTGTCCTTCTCAAGATCGAGAGTACGGCTCCGCTAATGAAGCAACCAGTCCCTCTACGATTCGTTCGTTCAGTCCGATACTAAATTATTGGCACTTGCGTATTTGGAAGGTCATACCCACTGTAAGCTTACTTCCAAGCAACCCTCAAAAGAGGAAATCGTCGACAACTACGCGAGCAAGTGATTGCTTCTGATATTTTTCCTATGGGACAAATAGGGAACAGGGTTTGGGTCTATTATTGCCCATCTCTAACTCTCCGTTGAAGTTTTCTGAGAAGCTTAAGACTGGGTCTAACGCCTTGGTAATTCAGTATAGTCAGAAGTTGGATTTAACTCTCTCAGCTTTGGGCCGTAGAAACTTCTATGGATATTTGAGAATTGAGCTCAAAACATAACTGTAGGATCTTCATGCATTTTTTAATTAATTTTCAGCAGCAAGATTCACTTTCGGTAGAATTTTTTCGATGCATAAAACGTTCGGATTATGGAGTAGTATACGGCTACGAGCAGAAATTGATTAAGGCCTTCAATGGTGATCTCAATTTC